CATAATGTAGGAGTAGAATTACGCAGCATAGATGAAATGTTCGAATTTAAAGATTATTTGATGAATAGTTTTTGAGTTGTTGACCCTGACTTAGTAAAAACGTCAAAAATTTGTTCGTGAGCACTAAAGAGCCTTGAGGTTCATCTGAATTTTATGAAATTTTGTGAGATCATTTGTATTGATGAAACCTTGGTCAAGTTCGAATTTGATTAGCCCATATTTGGAAGAAAGTTTTATGACTTATTGCCCTTGACGTAGTGAAAACGCGTCGAAATATATTCATGACCACAATACAGATGGTTCTGATTTTAATGAAACTTTTTGTGATCATTTATATTGACGAGACCTTAGTCAAGTTCGAATTTGATGATTTTTTGATGAATCAGTTTTTAGTTATTGCCCTTGGCCCTTGTTTGGCCCTTGTTAGTTCCCATCTGATTTTCATTATATTGCTGAGATCTCGGTCAAGTTCGAATTTTGAACGGTCTTTGAATTTTTGCCCGTGAGAATGCCTCAAAATTTTTTAGTCAGTACATAAGGACTACAGTTTTCAATCAAGTTTATTGAAGTTCCGGGTGTGATTATTTATATAGTGGTGTAACCTATATTCGTGCATAAGGATTCAACACCGAATCAAAAGCGGATTCTTTTTCGTCTTCGATGTTTTATCAGATATTCTGTAAAATAATTAATATTGGTTTGTTTCGATTTTCTTATGAATTCCTTACCTTGGCCCAACTGCAAAATACGTCACCTGCAGACATGGAGACCGCAAGTTTATCACGTGACTCAACACATGCAAATACGGAGGTCACGCGAGGTCGCACCTGAAAATTGTTTTTATCAATTACTGAGATGCACGAAATTAGGTTCGCACAAAATTAGGTTATTTGACTATATGGATGAGATCTTGGACAAGTTAAAATTTGACGATTTTTCAGTAAACTGTTTTGTGATGTTCATGAACACGATAGAGCTAATTGTTTCAAGTTAAAATGGCGCCAAAATTTGTTCGCGAGTTACACAAGCTACAGTTTTAATGAAACTTTTAAAGTGATACTAAGTCTTACAATGATCATAAAATTTAGTCAATATGAGTATATATTCATCAGTGAACTTACCTAGTGTAATAAAGTTATAACAGAATCCCTGTACAATCTAGAAAATTGGAATATTCATAAAACTAAGTCATTATTGAAAAACGCTTACTCATAATATTAAGCGTTTTTCAATATTCAATTGCATTTTTATTAAGTTTTTTGGATTTATCGAATTATATAAGGATCCTGTTATGTTATTTATGACACCAGGTATATCTACTGATGAATATATGCTCTTTTCGGCAAAGTTAACATCGAAAGTATCATAGAAATTTTAAAATGGAAAAGTTTGTAAATTAGTCGCTCTTGACTTATTTCTAATTCATTTGCCTGGTTAGTTATGTTTGCAGAAACGATAACATGAAAACTTATTTTCGTGGAACAGTCTTTGGTGAAAAGCTATTAAATTGTTACTTCTGTTCACAATATTCTAATCGACAAGAATGGGTGGATTTTAAATCCCAACTACCCTAACCGGAAATACATAATTCATCCAGGCAAATCAAGCAAATGCCTCATGTCAATATTAACAAAAAGGAAATTTTACATATTAAATGAATATAGATATAATATGCACTTAATATATCGCTTATTTGATGACTACAGTGGTTAACGTTTAAAGTCTAACGAAAATATGAAATACCTAACTGGATTTTTTGTCTCATAATAGGATATTAATCACAGATTTCACACTGCGGAACTATTCATTTTGACTGAATTTTGGTGAGGATAATCTTATGGAATCAAAGACTTTTCACCACCACAATGGAGAACATAGTCATGGACACTTGACAAAAACTTGAAATTTATCAAATTTATCATGAATTTTAAAGCCACTTCTCTTAACTGTTGGCTTCGTGGAGAAAAGGTGATTCTTTACAATTATTATTTTTTTGACAATTGATAACAAACTATTCTGTTTGTTGTACTGATTGAAAATTCGAGGTGTTTTGAAAATGTTCGTTTATCACAAATTTTGAAAATAACAAAAAAATGTTTCGTTTCATGTTCAAATAAAATTGATTCTAGAATATTGATGTCACCACAATTTCCAACTTTTTGAACAGTTTCATTTTGTAATACGAAAATCCACGATCCTAAAACTTAACTAATTCGGACAGTTAGGTGGTTGGGATTTAAAACCCACCCGACAGAAATAGAAACATGGATATCTTCCATTTCAACCTTAGTAGATTTCATATGAGCGATTTTGATTAAGTGTATGTACCCCATACATTTATTATTCTACAGAATCTAAGCTTGTACTAAAGCTCTGTAGAAAAACTATTTTTATTTTCATTTTCGGAATATATTTTGCACAATTCAAATTCTACAAGTTGAAATTTCGGATTCTTGAATGAATTATCATGTATTCCTAGTAATATCATTATGTTATCATTGCATATAATTAAGAGTTTTGACCAAATATAAATGCGCCATGTATGTACAGTCTAGATAAACGAAAATTTTCTAGATACGACCTGTTTGTCGCAGGCGCGTGTCGACTTGTATCGTAAAAATTATATTCGCACAATTTTCGCCATTATATATTTCTTTATCAACGATATTTTCATTGATTAGTCCTTTTTGTTGTAACAAAAATGAAGTGATTTCTTGTATAGCAATTTTTGAAGTGTTTCCTTGTATAGCAATTTCTAAACGTTTGTCTTTTAAAGCAAGCTATAAACAATAGCTCTTTTTGTGCAGACGAAATAGAAAAACATTTACAACCTACTTAGCTAATGATAAATAAAACGCATTAGGTGTTTCACTTCATGATTTATGATCAATTATCTGACATAATTTTTACCATTAAAGGGATTGTAAAGAGTGTTTCTAAATTTTCTACGTGTATATACACTGATAACATCAATTGCACCATTGCAATTTTCATAGTCCGATTAGTGATTACCTTGATTAAGTCATCTTCACCCATAGTTTCAGTCGACCCAGCTGTAAATGGGTATGGATAAATCGGTTAAGATCAATGCCAAGAGGTTTGGCCAAGGACCAGCTGGTAGAAAGGATCCTTAACTCTGAACCTAAGTTGTTATATAGTTGTTTCGTTTTTTCTTTCTTTCTGACATAATTTTTACCATTAAAGGGATTGTAAAGAGTGTTTCTAAATTTTCTACGTGTATACACTGATAACATCAATTGCACCATTGCAATTTTCATAGTCCGATTAGTGATTACCTTGATTAAGTCATCTTCACCCATAGTTTCAGTCGACCCAGCTGTAAATGGGTATGGATAAATCGGTTAAGATCAATGCCAAGAGGTTTGGCCAAGGACCAGCTGGTAGAAAGGATCCTTAACTCTGAACCTAAGTTGTTATATAGTTGTTTCGTTTTTTCTTTCTTTCAATCAGACGTCTGTGCTTCCTGCAATGCATGGCACCATAGCACTTCCCCTAAATACGCAACTGACTATGTCGATAACCACGTGCGGATCATGCAATTGGCAGGAAATGAATCTGATTGGATGATGACGATAAAATAATCGGCGACAAATATCAAACTTATTTGGTATTATAAATCCTGTCTGCAACGCAATCATTTTGTTGTGGAAGCGAGGGCACAAGTGCGATTAGTGACGGTATCTAGCACTTAGTAGAATCGCAGGAACCACAGACATCTGACTGAAAATTGGAATGGTGCAAAGTGTCCCCGATATACATAAATATGAAGAAAACTCTTATACAATCTATTTAAGAAAGGAAAAAGGGGAAAAACAATCAATTTTTAATAGGATAGCTGCTAAGGATCCTTTCTACAAGTTGTTCCTTAGCAAAACCCCGTTGGCATTAAAGATATTTCCTGGATTATCCGTAACCTTTTAGGTCGACGGAATAATGGGGAAATATGACTTATTCACGGCCACGAGAGTTTCATATGCCCACGACTTTCCCAACCAATTGACCTCATGTAAAGTTTATAACACTCTAAGCGGCTGTATTACAGAACAAATATTAAAACAATTTAAGTTTAACTAGATCTACTAATGCATCTTTTAGTGCCCTTTTTATTTTTTTCACAATGAATGTCGACTAAGCTTTCTAAATGTAGGCTATTGTTACTGACTAATATCTAAAAAGACCATACATAATAGTTTTATTATTATTTTGTTAGTGTTTTTTTTTAATTTTTTGCAAAAATAACGTATTTTTTATTAGAATCGATCGTTCAACTCAATCAATTTTTATACACTATATTCATTTGTGTGTCTCAGACGTCGACTTAAAAGGTTATTCAAGTTAGAAAAGGAATAATCCGTCAAAGCATGACAAATTGTAATAGTCGCAAAAACGATATAAGATAGATCCGTCAAAATGAACATGTATAACTGTACATCTTTACAATGTCAAGCTATAAAGAATTTCATACTTATACCTTGACTGAAGCAGCCACCTTTCTGGGTATCGTGGGAGTTTGTTAATGCAGCGATTTTATTGGATTGTACGCTAGCAAATACTGTCAATAGCAGATCTCGAGAGAGTCTGTGAACACAAAGCATTACTGTAATGTTTACTACCTTTCTGTCGAGGGCTCTGATTGGCTATATTTGCCGGCATACAACAAAGTTCGCAATAGCTTGACATTGTGAGTGATAACTGTAATGATATGTGATATTTCGATAGAAGAAAGGCTAATTTTACATTGATCTCCAAATCACTTGACCACAGAATACTTTCATCGTGCAAGCACTGATCTCTGTAAGTTTGGAAATCCCTATTAGAATTTTAGGGACGCCGCGTACAGCAAAAATTTAATGTATAAAAAATCTTATTTTTTCAATAGCCTTAAGCCTATCATTATGACGTTATAATAGATTTGACGTTATAATAATAATTGTTTTGACGTCATTATGATTGTTCTTCATTATTATCAGAGTATTTCAGATAATAAGACGCTATTTTACTGCGCTCTGCAATAAAATAGATTTTAGTAGAATATTTTTCACCGAAGAACATCGTTTGACAGATATTACTTAGTTCTATTTGGTAAGTTAAAATCTCTATCAAAATATCATTTGATTCAGCTAAAGTTTAAACGCAACAAGTAATATTTGACAAATTTCATTCTTATAGACCGCCCCATTTGTCCATTCGTCCAAAAGTAACTCTATTTCATTTCATTTACCGATTAAGTTAGGTTTATTTTTCTTGTTTATTTCAGTAAAGAAATGGATTCACAAGAAGAGTCTAGTTAAGAAACCACGGGAAGTGGAGATTTTGATTTTGATGATCAGATGAACTTTTCACTTTCACCAGGTCAAAATCCTAAAACCGGTAAGATTATTTATTTTAGATTGGGGAAATTATAATTAGTGTACTGTCTAAATAAAAAAAAGACGTTATCATTATTCAAATGTTACAATGATCCGCAATAGGGCCGTTGGTGTTGTTGATCCCTGGACAGTTTAAAATGAAAAAAAAAACAGGTAGGCTAAACGCCTGTTCGACAAGATTCCTCTCTTGTCCGTCTTAAAAAACTTTATCCGAACACTTGAAAAACCATTTCATTTGTTTATTGTAGAAAATTCGGCAATGAATTTACACCAAGCAAATACTCTCCCAGCCTTAAAACACCGACTGGATTGTTTGATGGAAGAGGATGAAGATGTAGATTATCCTCCACCCAGACTAATTACTGGTAGGTAAACTATTCTTGTAGACTAATTACTGGTAAGTAAACTATTCTTGTCTTAGACTAATTACTGGTAGGTAAACTATTCTTGTAGACTAATTACTGGTAGGTAAACTATTCTTGTAGACTAATTACTGGTAGGTAAACTATTCTTGTAGACTAATTACTGGTAGGTAAACTATTCTTCTCTAAGACTAATTACTGGTAGGTAAACTATTCTTCTCTTAGATTAATTACTGGTAGGTAAACTATTCTTCTCTTAGTCTAATTACTGGTAGGTAAACTATTCTTCCCTTAGTCTAATTACTGGTAGATAAACTATTCTTCTCTTAGACTAATTACTGGTAGGTAAACTATTCTTCTCTTAGATTAATTACTGGTAGGTAAACTATTCTTCCCTTAGTCTAATTACTGGTAGATAAACTATTCTTCTCTTAGACTAATTACTGGTAGGTAAACTATTCTTCTCCTCGACTAATTACTGGTAGGTAAACTATTCTTCTCTCAGACTAATTACTGGTAGGTAAACGATTCTTCTCTCAGACTAATTACTGGTAAGTAAACTGTTCTTCTCTTAGACTAATTACTGGTAGGTAAACTATTCTTCCCCTGGACTAATTACTGGTAGGTAAACTATTCTTCCCTTAGACTAATTATTGGTAGGTAAACTACTCTTGTAGACTAATTACTGGTAGGTAAACTATTCTTCCCTTAGACTAATTATTGGTAGGTAAACTACTCTTGTAGACTAATTACTGGTAGGTAAACTATTCTTCTCTAAGACTAATTACTGGTAGGTAAACTATTCTTCTCTTAGATTAATTACTGGTAGGTAAACTATTCTTCCCTTAGTCTAATTACTGGTAGGTAAACTATTCTTCTCTAAGACTAATTACTGGTAGGTAAACTATTCTTCTCTTAGACTAATTACTGGTTGGTAAACTATTCTTCCCCTGGACTAATTACTGGTAGGTAAACTATTCTTCCCTTAGACTAATTATTGGTAGGTAAACTACTCTTGTAGACTAATTACTGGTAGGTAAATTATTTTTGCAGACTAATTACTGGTAGGTAAACTATTCTTCCCTTAGACTAATTACTGGTAGGTAAACTATTTTTCTCTTAGACTAATTACTGGTGGGTAAACTATTCTACTCTTAGACTAATTACTGGTAGGTAAACTATTCTTCTCTCAGACTAATTACTGGTAAGTAAACTGTTCTTCTCTTAGACTAATTAGTGGTAGGTAAACTATTCTTCTCTTAGACTAATTACTGGTAGGTAAACTATTCTTCTCTCAGACTAATTACTGGCAAGTAAACAGTTCTTCTCTTAGACTAATTACTGGTAGGTAAACTATTCTTTCCCTGGACTAATTACTGGGAGGTAAACTATTCTTGTAGACTAATTACTGGTAGGTAAACTATTCTTGTAGATTAATTACTGGTAGGTAAACTATTCTTGTAGACTAATTACTGGTAGGTAAACTATTCTTCTCCTAGACTAATTACTGGTAGGTAAACTATTCTTGTAGACTAATTACTGGTAGGTAAACTATTCTTCTCCTAGACTAATAACTGGTAGGTAAACTATTATTGTATACTAATTACTGGTAGGTAAACTATTCTTCTCTTAGACTAATTACTGGTAGGTAAACTATTCTTCCCTTAGTCTAATTACTGGTAGGTAAACTATTCTTCTTTAAGACTAATTATTGGTAGGTAAACTATTCTTCTCTTAGACTAATTACTGGTAGGTAAACTATTCTTGTAGACTAATTACTGGTAGGTAAACTATTCTTGTAGATTAATTACTGGTAGGTAAACTATTCTTCTCTTCGACTAATTACTGGTAGGTAAACTATTCTTCTCCAAGACTAATTACTGGTAGGTAAACTATTATCCTCTCACACTAATTACTGGTAGGTAAACTATTCTTGTAGACTATTTACTGGTAGGTAAACTATTTTTCTACCCGACTAATTACTGGCAGGTAAACTATCCTATTCCTAGACTAATTACTGGTAGGTAAATTATCCTATTCCTAGACTAATTGCTGGTAGGTAAACTATCTTTCTCATACATTAATGACTGGTATGTAAACTATTCCCCTCTCAGTCTAATTACTGATATGTTAACTATCAATCTTCTTGGACTAATTACTGGCAGGTATACATTTCTTCTCTTAGACTAATTACTGGTAGGTAAACTATTCTTCTCTTAGATTAATTACTGGTAGATAAACTATTCTTCTCCTAGACTAATTACTGGTAGGTAAACTATTCTTCTCTTAGACTAATTACTGGTAGGTAAATTATCTTATTCCTAGACTAATTGCTGGTAGGTAAACTATCCTTCTCATAGATTAATAACTGGTATGTAAACTATTCCCCTCTCAGACTAATTACTGGTAGGTAAACTATTCTTCTCTTAGACTAATTACTGGTAGGTAAATTATCTTATTCCTAGACTAATTGCTGGTAGGTAAACTATCCTTCTCATAGATTAATAACTGGTATGTAAACTATTCCCCTCTCAGACTAATTACTGATATGTTAACTATCCTTCTTCTTGGACTAATTACTGGCAGGTATACATTTCTTCTCTTAGACTAATTACTGGTAGGTAAACTATTCTTCTCTTAGACTAATTACTGGAAGATAAACTATTCTTCTCCTAGACAAATTGCTGGTAGGTAAACTATCCTTCTCATAGATTAATAACTGGTATGTAAACTATTCCCCTCTCAGACTAATTACTGATATGTTAACTATCCTTCTTCTTGGACTAATTACTGGTAGGTATACGTTTCTTCTCTTAGACTAATTACTGGTAGGTAAACTATTCTTCTCTTAGACTAATTACTGGTAGGTAAACTATTCTTCTCTTAGACTAATTACTGGTAGGTATACATTTCTTCTCTTAGACTAATTACTGGTAGGTAAACTTTTCTACTCTTAGACAAAATTACTTGAAAGCAGAGACGGAGCCAGGTTTATGTCTAAAAGGGGGGGGGGGGGAGGGGGGAGGGGGGAGGGGGGAGATATGAGATTGCCCAAATCTTTTACCTAGTTCTAGACTAACCTGTTGTTAAATTAAATATTTTCAACTCAAATATTTGTAGGTCTACCAGAGCCTATTAATGTAGATGATTCTGTAAATAAACGGAGACCTAGGAGGCCAGAGATTGTTTCCCCAAAAGGTAGGTTCAAGAACATAATAGGTTACACCATTCTCCCCAGTCTGGTGTACAACCACATAGACAATTCATCTTCAGTGACCCCCAATCCCCTTTCTTTGAAGGATTATTTGTCGTTAGTTTACCTTTAAGCTGTTTTTGTTTTGTAAGTCACCAGTTCCTTAAGAACGTGGATTATTGCTTCTAAATATAAAATAATCAAAATTCTATTCAAGTTGTTGGAGATGTATAACACAATCCGTCTGTTGAAAGAAAGATGGAGATATTTATCCTGGTTAATTCCACTCTTAGCGGACAACTTATAACTAAAAGTTTATATTAAAATATAAAATGTCTATTATCAATTTCAGCACCATGTTTGTTATATACAACTGAAGAGGTTAAAGATTATATAGATCATCTTGAAATGAAATTAAATATTTTATATAAAAACATGCAGGAAACTAATAGGTAAGAATTTTAATAAAATGTTTATGAGTTTCATAATAAGAACTTATAATTTATATATGGTACTTTGACAAACATGGGTTCTTAATTCTGTTCAGTACTGAACACTGAATTGTATTTTCTTATCACGTTTAACAGTGTTTAACAGTGTTATAGAAAAACTTCCAAGAACACTATTTTGGTATGTTATTTCGGATTATGAATGTCATGCTGAGAAAACAGGAAATAAAACATTCAAATCAACATTTTGATCAGATTGATATGTCACCTATACAGAATGTATATTTTTCAATTTGACAATTTTGATTTGAACAATGTTTTTTTCTAGATACCTGTTTGTATATCTTCAATTCGACAATTCTGATTTGACAATGTTTATTATTGTTTTTTTTTCAGGCACTTGTTTGTATAATTTTCAATTTGACAATTATGATTTGACAATTCTGATTTGACAATTTTTTCATTTTATTTTTAGATACCTGTTTGAAGTTCTTGAAGAAAAAGACATTGATAAAATCAGAATAAAAAATCAACAACGTCTTCTGAATCAACAGGAAGTAGAATTGATATTTTACAGACAATTTTATAAAACTGGTAAAAAACATGGTAATGAGCCAATCTCTGAGGAAAATAAACTCAAAGCACCACCGAAGACTGAATTCTTCAAGTACTCCTTTGGAAAAAAGTTAAATATTGAAATGCACCCTGTAGATGTAGATCCTGATATTAAAGATGCTGTTGATCAAAAAGTCCAGGATGTTCTACAAGCCCAGGCTGATAAAGATCAAGAAATTCTTCCACCGAGTCAGGATTTTCACAATATTCTTTACATCAATCATTCAACAGAGGAAAGTAAAGATGAAGATTTTTACACCACTGGGACACCAAGTCCTGAACCAGTGTTGTATGATGTTACTCTGGAGTTTCAAGACAAAGATTCAACTTTACAACAATACAATCCACTTGGATCACCAGGATCATCATCAACAGCTTCAAGCCCAAGTCCAATTCAAGATACATCCAACGTTGATCGAGATTCTGACACATTTGAAAAACTAGAAATCTACGAGGCTCCTCTCCAATTTCGAGACAAAGGTATCTCAAATGTTTTAGAGACAGACGCTACATCACGATCTCATGAAATCGTTCTCACCGAAAGGACTGAACATCTATTCGACAACGTCCAATTACAGGAAGAGTTATATTTAAAGGAATCTGAAAATGACAACCAACCAAGTTACCCATCAAGAAGCTTAAGTCCAAAAAGAGAAGTCAATGATGATGTATGTGTAAGAGAGTTGTTAGGGGAGAAGGTCCGTGAGTTACCTGAAGCTGATTATCAGGAGGATGGTGAATGTGAAGCTACAACTGAAAGTTTCCAAGAAACAACCTTTAACTTGATGGCCAGTATCAAAGAACTTTCTACAGAAATCACCAAAGAAACTGAACGACAAGATGTTAAGGTTATGGATACCGAGTCATTAACAGAAAAAGAAAGAAGGATTATTGAAGAGATAGAGAAATATGTCGGCATTGATGACACTTTAGACACATTGGGAAAAGTACCTTATGTTCCATCATCAGCTGATACTATGAACTTTCAACTTGATCAAAAACTTGATTTAGTATCTGACTATGCCCGAAGTCGAAACCCGTTGCCCAAAAAGGAGGTGAGAGCCTTGACAGCTTTACCGGAAAGCAGAGGATCAAAGAAACGAGTGAAGGCACTGCCAATAGAAGTTGGAAAAAGACGGTATCCTCTCCAACCTGTCTACAGAAGCAATACACAGAAAACCATTCTTCCACCTATTAGACCTAATAATAAAACCAACAAACCACAATCCAAATTCACCAACCAAGAGAAGCTAGGACCTCTACCAGACATTACAATCGATAAAAGCTGCACACCAAAAAAATCTGAACCGGTTTTATATAAGCCTCAAGCAACTAAATCAAATATTCAACCTTCAAAGCAAACGATTGATGAATTAACTCTACCAAAACTACCAATAGTTCATACTGCACCAATCATTAAAGATAACAAACATAGAACAGACAATGGATTCTCTCTTCCTCAAATAAAGACAGCTTCAAGGAAATCACATTTAAGAGATCATCTTAAAACCAATATTCTACCAGATAAATTGAAACCAGGAAACACATCGTCTCAATATACCGCTTCAACATCAAGTACTACAAGACATTTTACAAAGTCTGCTAACTACAAACCACCAAAAGTACTACTTCCGGTGCAGCCTAAAATCTACCGATCAAATCGTCGAAAGGAGAAACAACCACATAAATTGCCGTATATTTGTCAATTGGGATTAGATGATTTATTTCTATCTAGAAAAGATTAAATATTTTCAACTTTCGCACTATTTTTCAATTCCCATACACGAAAGAGCACGTTTTAGACCTAAAAACGCTGAACATCCCCTTCCCTTAGGAGGCGGACTGGTTTGTCCAAAAATTTTCCACAAATTTTACCTGTATTTTTCTTTGTTTTCGGGTTGTAGTCCCTCGTCTTCTATGAGTATAATAGAGAACTAAAGAAAAGCAGATCTATTATAGAATGTTTCTATCAATATAGAATGTATTTGCTTGAAATTATCAAAATGATAAAAGTTGTGGGATGATTCTATAATTGGCTTTTAACCAAATGTACACTAAGGAGTCATTGGGGATTTATTTTTTTTTATACAAATCCTTTTTGAACCAATAACGTGATTTACAATTAGTTGATGGAAAGGTGAGTTTTGTCTCTGACGGATGTCGACAGACATGTTTTAATAGTATTGTAATTTATCAGAATTGATGATAAACCATTGTTACAAAATATGATGACTATATAAATCAAGGTTTATCAATAAGCAACATCTCTCAAAAAAGAGAAATGAGAATCGATTTGAAGTAAGCGATGCCTGCGTTGCGGTAAAGAGGTGCGATTATGCGGTACCGTTGCGGCAGGTATGACACATACGCGCGGTTCACTTTAATGGAAAATAATGGAAATCACCTGCGGTACAGGTGCGTTTCACCGGACAGAAAGCCTCGAGACTTTTGGTCCGGTGAAACACAGCGGGGAAATATAGCAACGCACCGCAACTGCATGTATGTGTCGTGTCAAATGCATAGCTTTGTTTGTTTCGATCCGGTGAAACGCTGCGGTGTGATGAACGCATCGCATCGCCGCACCGGACCACGAACTGCATGTATGTGTCTTTAGCTTAATGTATAAGTTATCATACCGTTCTGCTTATGGTTATCTATGTTATCTATGCGTGCAATGCGTTGTGAATACGCTAAGCAAGCGCCAAAATTTAAAAAAAAAAAAAACGTCACGTGTGACAGGGCCATTACAACCGAAGAATTTGTCGCTTTAACGATAGCTTCCCCTATTTCCATTTATGAAAAAGAAAGTGCTAATGATTTTTATATGAATAGAAAGTAGAGGTATTCTAATGACTTGGAAAAATACCAGTTTGTCTCACATGTCCATTATTAATTTATAATTAGAAGAGAATTACCAGCAGAATTCCAATGAGTGGCCGATTAAGAAAGTATTTTTTGTTTATCTAGACTGCACATACATGGACATTTATTATTGGTTAAAACTCTTAATTATGTGCAACATAATGATATGATTAAGAAAACATGATAATTCATTAGAAACACTAAAAATAAGGAAACCCATCTTTAAAGGCGTTTTTATTTTAGCAAATCGTATCAATTCGTTTTCACGGCCTTAAATCGCCTGAAATAAATGACCATGGGCATAACCGAGTTGCATTTTTACTTCTCAAGAATCCCAGTACACTGATTATTGAACAGTTAAATATTCTTATGCAATAAAATTTTCTTCAGATATTTCTATTTGTTGTTAGACAATTTCAAACGCTGTGAACTATTGGAGGCATATCGTTGTAGGCACTTCGCTTATATAAATGCATGCACAGTGTGATCTGTGTCGATACGTTTTGCGTAAATAGAAACGGCTTTATAGAGTGATTAATACTAGACTCCTTATTATTGATATTACAGGTTATACATTCTAGTCTTATATTCTCAACAATCATGTGGACTGTTTCTTTACTCTGGAATTTAAAATGGTTATTTATCTTAGATTTGGTTTATTTTGCAGGTAGGTAAGAACAAATTGTTTCGTATGGATTTGGTTGATGTTTTAATTGTATTTATCGTTTTTATATCGTTATCAAAACAGCTTAGATTCTGACAGACAATAAGTACTTTGGGTACACACTTAAGAAATTCAAGGGTTGAAATTGAAAGTATTCATATAGGATTTTTTATTTTTACTTGGCGGGTTTTAAATACCAACCGCGTCGAAAAGAAAAGAATGCTCGAATTAGTTTTGTTAAATTTTAGGATTGTAGATGGTTTGGTGGTAAGGATTTAACATCCCCCATTTGTGCCGATATTAATTAAACATTAGTAGCTGTTCACAACAACAACAAAAAACTTCAGGGAATTGTTAGGCTACTGTAAATTTATTAATGGTTTTGAATATTACGATAATAATATATTCCTTTCATTTCAGATTGTGGTTATTTTGTTTCTACGGCTTTTCGTAAAGTGTCATATATACAAAATGTTACAGAAAAAAATCATTTGGTTTTTGCCGTCAAATCCGACGTTTTCGCTGAATTGCATTTATATAATGATACCGCCAGTGTAAGTGAGATTGTGATTGGCATCAGCAATAATCCTAAAAGAGTTGCTCTAGCAATAGATTGTCATTATAATTATCAGACACATACAAGTGATTTAATAACTCTAACAAAATACTCATGGTTTTGGGCAAGATGGACCGGTACACAACTAGAATTTGGTACAGGGAAAATTCCCGGCGTAGATTTGGTACACAGTCGTTCCTTCTCTAGAGTGATCAAGTATATTGGATTTGGAAAATATACCGGGAATGAAGAATGTTTTTGGATAATTGGTCAAACTAATGAACTTATAAATGGTAAGAGAACATAAAGTCTTATTTAAACGTATTTAGATTTCTATATTAAGGACTAATTCTATGACAAAATATTTGATCGAGGTTGAGATTCAATTACAATAGGTTTGCGGAAGACACTTAAGGATGTCTGAATGGTTACAATTGAGGGTACAATTTTTTGTCCAATTAACAATCAAGACATTTCACAATGAAATTTTAAGACAAATCAGCATAAAGTACAAAGCCTTTGGTCCTGGATTTCATCAATCAAGACATTTCACCATGGCAGTTTTAAGACAAAGAAGCAATTGTACAAAACTTTTAGTTCCGGATTCCATCAATCAAGACATTTCACTGTGAAGTTTTAAGACAAATGAGCATTTAGTACAAAGCTTGTAGTTCCGTATTCCATCCATCAAGACATTTCACGGTGAAGTTTTAAGACAAATGAGCATTTAGTACAAAGCTTGTACTTCCGTATTCCATCAATCAAGACAATTCACGGTGAAGTTTTACAGGAAACTCCTTCACTATGTAAAATTTTAAATAAAAAAAATGAAAGTTAGTGGGAGCCAGATGTATTTTAACCATCCTCATCTTCTTATTATTATATTACTGTTCACTACAGAATCAATGTTTAAAAGAAGGCAGGGTGGGCGAATTACAGATACATCAAATGTATATCAAGTGAGGAGTAACACCAGGTGTGCTGTTTTGTGTATAAGCCTTAATGGATGTTATGGATACAATTTATCGTTAAAAGGTATGGAAAAATTTCCTATCGTACATTGATTTGATCAATTAAAGGTGCGATATTTCCGAGATTATATCATACCAGAAACGTGTACTGTTCCGCTAAACTAATCAGTAACAATATTCACAGCTTACCATCGAAATTTTAGCCTTTAAATCCAAGTGTATCTATAATTATCTATATTTTAACAAGTCGCCATTTTAAAAGACTTTTTATTTTGAATATCTGTTGATGTCGTCATGATTGTGTATACAGTAGACTCAATCATCCTGTTCCACTCCGTTACGCAAAGCTGCGACGGAAAATTGTCTTGGTGTCAGAGACTATATCAACAAGACGTTAAACTTTCGGATACCCTAAGATAACCCTGTGAACGTTAAAATTTAAAATTAAATTTCTTGTTTTATGGAGATTTTTTTTCTTTGTTTTTTTTAGGAATTTTAGTTCTGAAGACAATTTTTCATTATATTGAAAGCTTAAATCAACCAAAATACCGCATCTGTCCCTTTAATAAAATGGCTAACTATCCAATGTCAAATAATTGCACTGTTGCACTTACTCTTGTATTTATTTCAGTCAATGGGATCTCAACTTGTGAATTGATACAAAAAGATTTTCCATACAGCTGCTGGGATACACTGAATGTGAATTGGGATGGAGATTCTAAATGGACACATTACTATCTTTAGAGCTACAAAGTCACAAAAAACATGGAGTGTAAATGTACGGTACAATAAATGAAACAGTTCCGGTCATCAAATTTGGGTGTGAGATATATGGGCCGATATATCGGTTACTTGTAGCGTTAGGTATTTAGGAATTTATTTATAAATTGGACCAAACGTCCAAATTGTGCGAAACTAATATTTCATTCATGAGAAGTATCAAATAATTAATATGATTTCACACAATGACATTATATAATGTTTGTGCGAAACGTCTCATATCGTCATATTATGTATATTTGTTTTGTTATAAAATGTCTCGAAGTTTACTTTTGACCCATTCGTATCTACAGCGGTCATTGACAATAAACCTGTAGGCTATGCTAGAAGGAAATCTTATTTGATTGTTAGGCTAAAGCTACATCTGAGTTACAAAATATTTCTCGGCAGATGTTCGTTCTTTTCTTTGACGTAGATAGGAGAAGTGTGGATGTCAGAGTCTAGTAAGATGTCAACAATGGAGATGAAAATTAAACTGCGCCAGTTAAGACATAACCCGTTCCACGTTGACCAACAACAACTCAAGGTTAATAGTAAGACTTTATGTAGAAAACCATGACAAGACTTCAAGGTGTTAACAGGACAGTAGTCGGAAGACAGAAAGGCTAGGTTTACTTGCTTTGTGCTACATTGCACGTGATTTAAAGAAGGCGAACTTGATTAGTGAAATACATCTTATGGCGCTGACAAAGGAAAAATTAAACATTTCGATTCCACGAAAAGTAATTGGAGACATTGCAGACGATGATCGTGATTGCATAAGTGTTTTGCCTACCGGCAATAGAAAAAGTCTGATTTTCAGATGCTGCCATGGGTTACATGACCTAATATTTGAAAGTAGTACGATTCATCCGCCAGCTGCATACGAGGTTATTGTCAAGTGTTGGAGAAAAGCCGACATATTTACGATTAGTTTTAACTACTGAAGTTTCCCTTTTTTCGACGTTCGAACATTCTCTATCCAATATAGTTGAAAATTTGTAAGAAAACTCAGAATAGAGTCTGGAACATCATCATGTGGATGGTGAGTTAAAATCATAAAGAGGTACATAAGTGAAGTAGGCTAGCACCAATGGGAATAAGCATACTCTTTTACTCTACTCTACTCTACTCAGAAGCAGCGGTGGAGCCAAAAGGGGGGTGGGAGGGGGGGGGGGGGGGTAACCGCCCCCGTCGCAGCCCCGAAGGTATGTTTTTCGGGCAAAAATCTCATAACTAGGTTAGAAATTAGGGCAACCTAATTGACAACAACTCAACCATGAAATTGGGATTTAAAAGAAAGTAAATTTGGTACTTAAAATTTTGAGTTTGGCTATTATACATATCCTCACAAAAATGTTGTTTAAAGGAATATAATTGGTAGAGAAGTAAACTCTCTACCAATCAAAATTAATGACGAGAATATCGGATTGTGAGAGCAACGGCTAGATGAACATTATTATCGTACCGTTGCTAAAGGAACATGAATATTGTTTTATTTATAGGGTCATTACACTCGTTTAAGGATCTGGTAAAATTCTTTATTAAATCGTGTTCAGCATCAGAAGTTACCTTAATTTAACTCCAACCAATTCAGGCCTTGGGTTTATATAGAGTAGAATTTATTTCAACAAAAATGTTATAACATATTTATTATTTTATTAGTCTATTTTAGTGCCATTGATTTATTGAAAGTTCCAAGTTTGATATTGATTTTTTGTTGGTCCTAAATTCCACAGATTTTAAATCGACCAAAAAACATAACTATCGATTTATTTAATTAAAGGCTTTGCAACTTTTTGATTTTTTTTCTTTTCGCCTTTACAAAAAAAGAAAATGGATTTATAAACTAAAAAATGTCTTTTGATTATAATACAAAAGACTATGGCCGAGAAATTATAACATAAAAAAGGACTAGGCGCCAGGTCTGAAAGACCTGAATATTTTTTTTAGCTGAGCCAAACAGTCATGGTGTTCACCGTCGAAATTTTGGCCTTCAAATTCAAATCCATGATTTGTACATCTGAAGACTATATACATTATATTCAAGACTCAAATCCACCCCCAAAATGGCACACCTGTCAATAAACCAACATGTTTTCATTTCAGTGGCGGAGCCACAGCGGGGGCAGCCCCGAAGGCTAGTTTTTCGGGCAAGGCATTAAAAAAATGCCCCCCCCTGGGACGTAAACCTGGCTCCGCCACTGTTTCATTTGATTTTTGAAACGTTCTCAAGACATACGTCTCTGTCTCTGATATTTTGCCAACGTAGGCCAGTGTATCAAAATATCAGAACACTTTAAGGCCGGTGTGTCAAAAACACTTGCATAGGCGTACGCTGAACTATTGACTTATTTGAAGCGTATTCATAGCGTATTTTTATTGAATTGCACGTGAATTGGAGCCGCGTTTATCCGGTTGCATGCCGATAGTCCGGAAACCCCGACATCTACACGCTTTTTCACTTTTTATCTTTCGTTCAATAATACCTTAATACCATTTATCGTTCAGTTATACTTCGGTGTCACCTTTCGTTCAATCATACCTGAATACGGAACGCATCAAACGTTAGTTTATAAATAATAATTATTCATGATGCCTCGTTGATCGGTATTTAATAAATCGTTATTTGAGAATATGCGGTTAATTTAATGATCACGTGTAAGCTGTCTTTCGTTCAGTAATAGGCCTACTTGAATAATCTTTCGTTCATTCATACCCGAATACCATTATGGCTATAACGGCACGGTAATTTATATTTATAAATTAGCGATTGCTAATTCTAAGAAATGCTATTGTTATTATCATGCTATGATAGTGAAATGAAAAATTCTAAACAATCGGGGTTCTTCACGACGTATTGGCCTTTAAAGTATACGCATGTTGCGTACGTGACACTTGACAGGTTTCCTAATAATAAGGGACAAACTCTAGTTATGGAATGACATGTTTCAACTATCCGGATTTTCGTTAAACCGCACGATTTTATCGGGAACGGGAATGTGCGGATAAACGAGGCTCCACTGTATATGTAACTTATACTAAAGACTGATATATACCAGTTCCTTAAGGTCCTGTCACACGATTCGATCAGATTCAAAATTTGATGAATGCGTTGGCGTTAAGCCCAGACTTCTTTTGTCCTCTACGTTCAGGCGTATACGCATCCCCATCCGCATCCGCACAGCCCCTTTTAGCGCATAAATCGCCCAATTTTCTAGCAGTCCTAAGTGCGTGAAGACTTTTCCAATACGGATTGCGAATAAATTGAGTAGTTTTATCTAAACATAGAAGGAACGATTTCATGCTTACGGATACTTACTACGCTTGTGCAACTACGGACAAAAGAACTTTTGGTCATGTGTGTACACAAAGTAATTTATTGCTAATGTAAACATTATGTTTAAAAACAAATCATTATTTCAAATTTAATCAATAATTTAAAAGAAAATTCGAAAAACAAACTACACTGATAATACAAACTCCACTAATAACACAAATCTATCAAAAAAATTCAAAGCTTCTAAATAAAATAATGTACAGTATATAAGCTTGTTTTTGTCCGACTCCTTAAATCTTCAACAATAGAACCTGGTTTTAGACCTAAGCCTACAAAATGACAATATAGTGCATTATATATTTCAGATTTACTTGAACAATTACCACAATGTAGTCCGTACCGTAGAGCAATTCTGGTGAGACTCTGCTCACTAGTCGAAATATCACTTGGTAAAAGAGAAGGATGACCTGCTGGTCTCTTACTACAACAGCGATTCCGTTTTCGGTGTCCGGTGCTATGTGGGATGATCGATACAATAGAAAATAGAAATAGAAGTGAATGCATGATGTATTGGTCCGTAAACGGTGCGGACACAATTCGCTTTTCTCCTTTTTTCTACTAATAATCACTCATCGTACACCGAACCGGACACCGTACATCGTCTATTCGCACCTTTAATTAGCAATCCGCTAACAGAGGTCTTCATCTTAATTAAAGAAGTGCAAGATCAGGTACCAATCAGCAATGCTGAATTTTATAAACCATTATTTTACAACTTATTTGTCAACGGGCTAATTATCAGTGGAGTGGTTTCTGAAACCTTGGTATTTATTTCTGGTTTTCTGAATTTTGTATGTCTATATCGGGGACACTGATAGAACAGATTTTATCCATTCCAATTTTCAATCAGAAATCTGTGGGTCTTGAAATTCCTCTAAAACTAACCGTATTTTGAAGTCACCATGTTGCAAATCGAAGTCATAAATGACCCCAAGATTATAATAAACTTCTATTTTTGTGGTCCTTCGGTCGGTTTGATCGAGAAGGCACAAATCTTGATTGATTTTGACGACATTTGGTATGAGTGTTTGTTATCAACCAAGGATAAACTATTGAAAATCAGTGAAATCGAAAAATATTTAGTATGATTTATTGCCATTGTTCTTGAAAACGGTTCGAATTTTTAACTCGTAAACACTTTAAGCACAATTCTGGATGGATTTTAACGAAACTTGCTGTGACTGTTTGTAATCAGCCAATGATAAACTCTATCGAAAATCGAAATATCGAAATTTTTTAGTAGGCCTATGAGTTATTGCTCTTGGGAATTGTTAGCCTGAAGAGGGCATGATTCTCGACGGGTTTTGACAAATCATTGTAATATTGTTCAGTATCACCCCAAGTTCAAAAGAAGATTGTTACTGTACTGCCAAATATTTTTTATCAAAGCTGCCGTATATAACCTAAGCTGCCAAGCTATCTTTTTTTGATGAAAAACCAACCATTCCTGATGCTTCATCGTTTCGATAAAAACATGGCGCCGCCCCGGCTCGATTGCAATGGCTTATGTTTTGTGTTATTAGAATATCACTAATATACCCAAGACTCGGATTTTTCTCAACTTTTCTTTGCTGTTTCGGAACCATTCTGACGGCTCTTAATCCCTTACAATTTTAATCCTTTCCTGATGTTTATATATAATATCAGGTACAATAATAAAGTATTTTCACTGTTAAAATATCAGAAAAGTATTAAAAAATTGATTTCGAAATTGAATGACAATTAAATCAATTCTGGAAATTAAGTTAAAAAAAATATTGTCTTCAAAAATCAATTTGAATCAGTATAAAGAGCCATGTTTGCAGAATTTGTTTTTGAAAAATCTGGGGCGTAAGTTATTAAAAGTGAATTGTACTTAGTCTCTGAAATCAATGAAGATAGCTTGCCAGGCTGTCTTTAGTGAACAAAGTACGAATTTTCTCATGTTTTATTAGTTTAAATTCAATGATATATATATTTACTGCCAGTTATCTATGCTGAGTAATTCCTCAAAAAAAATTTAAAATCAATATCAATAACCCAAATACATCAAATCATTAAATCACAGAGCTCTAATATCAGGGGCTAAAAATTGTAATAATAATAATAATAATAAAATCTTTATTAGGGTGAAAATTTTCCTGGCCTTTTACAATTTTGCCCTTCAAAGGAACACAACAGAAACTAAAAACAATAAAATTACAATCACAAAAGCAGTAGAACTTTTAACAGTTACATGTATATACATTTATCATTCATCTGATTATGTTGTTCTATTTTTTCAAGAAAGAGATGTTTTTTAAATTGTAAAGAGTTCCATAAACAAGGGCCTTTATATTTCAAGCTATTCTTATATATTGATTTAATAGGATTTGAAATAAGGAATCTCTGGTTAATGGATGCATATGGTGTGTTTTTATATTGGAGAATATTTTGAAGATAAACTATCTAGACAATTACGGTTTGCTATTTTAAAGAGAAAGATGTATTTTTTGACTAAATGTCGTTTTTGAACTGTAAGAATATTCAATGATGTGGATAAGGTTTCATGGGAGGATGACAGAGGAGAAGGTTTAAGTACTGCTTTATTATTAATAAGCCTAAAAACCAATTTTGAAGTCTATTAGGGGCTGCTAAAGAATAATTATTACAAGTATCACAAATGGTGGAGCAGTAATCAATGGGGGACTGAAAATGAACGAAATAGAATAATTTAATAAGGTTTGAAGGAATGAGAGGTTTAATCTTGCGCATTTGAAATAATTTCTGATTTAAAATTTTACAAATATAATTAACATGTTTATTCCAATTAAAATAACACCCAATAGTTTAAATTCTGTGACATTTTGAATTTGAGAATTCAATAGTTGTAAAGAAAGATAATTTCCTGGAATTTTTAATTGATGATTTGAGCCAATTAACATAGTTTTTGTTTTCTATTGATTTATGACCATAGAATTATCATGACACCATTGAACGGTTTTATTAGTTTCTGATTGAAGAACAGAGTTTAAAACGCAAATATCTAAAGATGATGAATACATTGTAGTATCATCAGCAAACAAATCATAGTTACACGTAAGAGGAAGTGAAAGATCATTTATAAAAAGATGGAATAACAAAGGACCTAAGATAGATCCTTGAGGTACACCAGAAGTTATGCATTGAAATGTCGATTGGTTTTGCCCAATTGAGATACACTGGTTTCTGATAAGGAGGTAGTTCCTTTTGTGTTCACAAGAAATGTTGACGGACCGACGGACAGGGGCGACGGAAATATACGTCCACATGGAAATGTAGACGTATAAGAATCAATTAGACGCGCTAAAATACATGTAAGGTTTTTAGTGTCTGGACAACCAGTAACATTAATCTGAATTACTGCGATGGAAAAATGACTTGAAAAATAATTTTTATCTGCTTAGTTAACTTATATTAGTTTATCATTGGCTTGAACAACAACAAAAAATGGGAAATCGCCAAAGAGAAATGTGTTTGAGTTATATTCGGCATTTCTCGGCAGTTTCCGTAAAACGGAATCTGTGTCAGTAATGAATGGTAAATTTCGCTGTATCATCTTTTTGGGGGAGCCTTTTCCGGCATTTGGAGTGATTTATCAAGTGATAGTAATATTGCAACCTGAATAATAGGCCCATAGATTTAGAGCCCTTTAGCTTTGGATGAAGAGGGGATAATTTTCACACTTACTCATACATTTAATGCTATGATGTGACTATTGGTTATCCAGTGATACTTTTCATTATCATTTTGGATCCGTAGCCTATGAAGTTTTTGTTTTCATTGACTTCATTTACAAACACTTGTAGTCCTGAATGACCAGTCACTATACCAGAATCACTTGACAATCTTGACACGATTCCGGTAAATACTCTAATGATGTCTGTAATAACAATTTGCGTAACTCAAAATTTTCAAATTTAGTTTCCATGGTCATGATATATAGAGAATTTCTCATGAGACAAGAGTATACATATTAACGAGATTTCTACAAAAGATGGTTCAAATTTAAACCCCAAATATCATATAGATGGGTATTTCGTGCTTACTGGCATGTGTGATTTTTTCGTAAGGTACAGTTTTCTGCAGCACCGTAAAATATTTGCCCTGTGTTTGTTGTGTGAGGTTTTTGCAGCTCTAAAGATAATAATGTGCCCATGTAGAATCTCCATCCCAATTTACGCTTAAGGTTCCCGGGCAGCTGAATGGAAAATCGTCTTGTATCAATTCACAGGTTGAGACTCCATTGACTGAAATAAATACAAAAGTTAGGGATTATAACATAGTACAAGTATTGTCATTATATAGGCTCTTAGCCATTTCATTCAAGGAAGGGATAGAGCATTTCTCCATTGTGTGGAATCGCATGCACCACAGACATCTTGCTGAAAGTTGGATTGTTGCAAATCGATGCTATCATTGTCCCCGATAGACCTACACATGAATCTAAGACACCACACGCACATGGAAGTCCATCTTCACTTCGTCTTATACTTTAATAGCCACCTTTCTTTATCATGAAAGATTGTAAATGAAGCGATTTGATTTGATTGTACGTAAGCGAATACAGCCAATCAGAGTCACGACATAAAGTTGGTAAACCGTTAACAATAATCAAATCGTTGCATTCAGGGATGCAGAAAGATTACTATTGCAGCCAAGGTATAAGACGAAGTTTATAGTAGACAGTGCCCCTAGACTGGGGGTACAAATAGGGAACACTTAATGGGGGGACAATGTCGAGTCTGAATTCAAACTGCGGCAACCCTGTCGTGGCGTCATAATCGCGAGCCTCTCTTGGACGTCTGAAAGGGTAGTTCCACGAAAATTTTGAAATATTGAATAGAAAGTTGGTTATTGCAGTCAAGGTGGTTTTAGACGTAGTTCGTAATAATTGACATTGTGAAGATGGGTATTTAAATATTGGTTTTCCATGGCGCGGTATATAAAACGTCTGAATATTTTTCTTCAATAGCTCAAGTTCACTCATTTTTTCAACATCAAAATCTAAAGGTCCTAGAAGTGGCGGTAGTCTAATCTTTAATAGTGCTTTTGTTATCAGCAAATAGAACCATTTTGTAATAAAAGGCCGATCCCTATAGCGATTTGAATTATATCCATACTTTTTAACGATAAATTGAATCCATAACATCCATTTAGACTTAAACACAGAACAGCACACTCGATATTAGTCCATACTTGATATACATTTGATGTATTTGTTATTCGCCTACCTTGGCTTTTTGTAAACGTTGATTCTGTAATGAATAATAACAATAAGAAGATGAGAATGATTATGATGATGATGATGATGATGATGATGATGATGAAGATGATGATAATATATAAATAGTTAAAAATAATTTATACGCAAACTAAATCAATGCCAGTTACACTTTATCAAAAGCCCCAAGTTTTGCACTAATTGCTTATTTGTTAGAAAACTTTCATGGCGAAATGTATTCATTGATGAAATCGGTAGGCAAAATTTGTTCAATTGCTGATTTGTCTTAAAACTTGTATGCTGAAATGTCTTGATTGACGGAGTCCGGGACTAAAAGCTTTGTACTAAATGCTGATTTGTCTTAAAATTTCACTTTGAAATGCCTTGATTGATGGAATCCGGAACTAAAAGCTTTGTACTAAATGCTGATTTGTCTTAAAATTTCACTTTGATTTCACTATGATTTTTAGACGTTTTGCCAGAAAATGCGTGTCAGAATTCACCAAATCAACTTTATTTTTTGAGAGAACCCTTCAGATACTCCATAGAAGTCTTCTACAAACCTATTGTATTTTGAATCTCAACCTCGATCAAATATTAAAGCATAGAATTAGAAAATATCTCATCTTATCGGAATATAATTTACTCCTCATGGTATACGGATTTCTATTACATACTGGTGAATGTGACAAATCCTTTGTAAGTTTCTAACATCAATCTTAAAACCATATCTTTAATATAGAATATCTATAGGACGATATCCCTTAAACTAAGACTTTATCTTCTCTTACCATTTATAAGTTCATTAGTCTGACCGATTATCCAATAACATTCTTCGTTTCCTGAAGATTTTCCAAATCCAATATACTTGACCACTTTAGAGAAAGAAATACTGTATACCAAATCTACACCAGGAATTGTCCCTGTACCAAATTCTAGTTGTGTACCGGTCCATCTTATCCATAACCATGAGTATTCTGTTGGAGTAACTAAATCACTCGTGTGTGTATGATAATTAAACATACAATCTATTCCAAGAGAAACTTGTTTAGGATTAAAGCCGGTGCTAATCGCAATCATACCTACATTAGATGTATCATTATATAAATGCAATTTAGAAAACTTGTCTGATTTTAAGGCAAAAACCAAATGATTTTTTTCTGTAACATTTTGTATATATGACATTTTAAGTTTAGACGTAGTAACAAAATAACCACAATCTGAAATGAAAGGAAAATATTTTTATCGTAATATTAAAAAAAACCCCGAGATTTTGTGACTCGAACATCAGGTGTTCCGAGAAGCAGACTAGTTGATAACGATATAAAAACGATAAATACAATTAAAACTTAAAACCAAATCCAAACTTTACAATTAGCTCTTTCTTACCTGCTAATAAAAACAAATCCAAGATAAATAACCATTTTAAATTCCAGAGTAAAGAAACAGTCCACATGATTGTTGAGAATATATGGCAATACTGTACCAACTTGTCATATAATAATGAGAACTGTAGTTTAAAGCACTTGTATTCAAGAGACGATTCTTCGGTTGTTAAAATGCCATATATGTATATATTCTGTCCATGAATATTTTCATAATGTGTTATTCCACGAGAACATGTATAGCGAAACTATAGAGATATAGATTTACAAACAATGAAAGATTCCGAGTCTATAAAATTTTCGCTAAGTAAGATTATTGAAGTCAAGGAATAAAGGCGTACCATACTAGTTCTTAAAAGTCTGAGATAAAAAACAAAAGCTTTAGAATTATACAATGGCAGTAGTATATGAGCTCATAGATTGGTCGCATTTCTCCACATTCCATTTCATTTCATGGGAAAAATGCAACCAATCTATGAACTCCCAAAAAAAGAGACCTAAATTCCCTACATTTCATAAATTCTTACAGCAAAACATCCTACATTTCATAAATTCTTACACTTAAAAAAGACCTAAATTCCCTACATTTCATAAAACATCCTACATTTCATAAAATTCTTACACCAAAAAACACTTTCAATCAATTTCCTACATTCCATCAAAAAAAGCATATTAAAATAATGTTTTGGAAAAAAAAACAATTTTCTACTCAAATTTTAAACCTTAAAAATGGCAAATAAAATACTAGATCCAATCTTTAGATTATATGATCCGATTCGTTATTCATTTAACAAGAAAAAAGAGGATTATATTATCATCTCACCCACTGTTGGTTCTAAATCCCAATTGAATGATGGTGGTAGAATTACTTTCGAAATAAATTCATTATCGAATTGGTTGCTTCTTTCCGATGCTTATTTCAGATGTGATTTCAAAATTAAAGATGGAACTCAGAATCAAGTACCACAAACTAATACAACGTTAGGAAACAATTTCTTTCCATCTTTATTTAGCGAGATGGTTTTGGAAGCTGGTTCAAATCCGATAGAAACAATCAAACACCCTGGGGAATTCGACACAATGTTGAAAACAGTTTTATATCCTAAAGATTTCGATTCAGTCTCAGGTTGGATACCCGATGTTGGTGATGGAAGTGTTTGAAAAGAACCGGTAAGAAATGTTGCAAATGATGCTGATTTAGATATTTAGAGAGTTGTTGCTCGAAACACAATAGAAAGAGTAGGACGAGCAGCTAATCATGGATTTGAAAAACGAGTACTTCAGTACAATAATATTGTTGAGAATATTAGGTGGGGTAATTAAGTAACTTGGAAATTATATCCTTTATTCGGTCTGTTGGAACACAGAAAGGTTTCCATAGGGTTACCATATAAAATTCATCTACAAAGAGAAATCAACGATGATAAGATATTCTTTGGAGAGAATAGTTCAGATGCAAAATTAGAAATAACGAATCTCCAACTTTTCATACCCATAATAACACCATCAATTGAAGTAGAAACGAGAATATTCAACTCGTTAACTAAAGATATTGAAATAACTTTTCTTCATCGTAATACAGTAGATAGCATGACTTTAACGGGAGAATCCACCACGTGGCCAATCACTAACACTATTAAACCAGCAAGATATTTAATGGTTGGTTTCAAGAACTTACCAGATTCTCAAACGAATAACAATAATGTCTTTAGAGTGGCAATGAACCAAACTCAAAATCCTTTAATCCATAAAGTTCAAGTAAGATTAAACAACGATAATTATCCTAACCAACCTTTAACAATTAATCCAACCACAAAGGATTATAATGAATTGTATAGAAACTATAAAAATATGTGTGAATTATTTGGAAATCTACCTCAGTTTGAATATGTAGATTTTACACTTAATCATCCAATCTTCTGTTTTGATCTATCAGCTCACCAAGAAGATCTTTTCAAAACAGGAGTGAACATAAATACTCATATTGAAAAAACACAAGGAGATGTGACAGGTTAGTGTTTATTATTGGAGGAAGCAAAACATTTAATTAAAATAGCAGATAGAAGAATGATAAGAATTGAGTAAAAAATACACCCTTAAAAATGAAAGTAGAAACTTTAGTTATGAAAATAATAGAAGCTATTGATACAGCTTCCCCAACTGTAATAACTTTCAATGGTAAAAAAATCAACATAACTAAAAAACTTATTGATAAATACAAAAATTGTAAAGTCAGAGATGATATAGATTTAGAAAGAATTGACGCGAAAAGAAGGTGGATTTTTACCTTTCCTTCTACCTTTAATATTTGGTAGTATTGCAGTGGCTACTGGAATAGCAAAAGCCGTCAACTCAAATAAAGCAGCTGCAGTAACAGCAGCTGAAGAACGCAGACATAATTTAGCAATTGAAAAGGAGGCACGAGGTTCAGGAGAGGGAGAAATGATAGGCACAATAAAAGAATTTGGAAAAAGATTTGGGGAAGAAACCAAGAAAACTGTTAAACAAGGATTAAATAAATTAGTAGATACTGGAGAAGGAATATTTCTTTCAAAGTATAAAGGAGAAGGAGTTATTTTTGGAACAAATTAAAATAATAAAAAATGGGTAAAAAATTTAATCATTCAGAAATATTTCCTAATAACCCTATGCTCATGTGTATATGCGGTAGTTCCGGTTCTGGGAAAACTCATCTCACTTTTAACATGTTGACAACACCAAACCTTTTAGATTTCGATTCTTTGTATATATACACAACAACGCCAGAGCAATCGTATTATCAATTTCTCAAAGGTTTAGAATATTTACCAAAGAAAGATGTTCAAGACCTATTTCAATATTACGAAGAAAACGAAGAAGAAGTGGAAATAAAAGATATCTTAGATAACTACATCGAAGGAACGAAAAATGTTAATGATCTAGACTTGTCTAATATTGATAGCAAACGAAAGAACTTAATATTGTTTGACGACTGCGTAGCGCAAAGAAATCAAGCTGTTCAACAAGAATTCTTCACGAAGGGAAGACATCACAACTGTCACTGCATATACCAATCTCAATCTTTTTACGGGATGGATTCTATGTTTATTAGAAAAAATGCAAATTGTTTTTTATTATTTGAATTAAACGATAAAGATTTATCTCAAATCATTCAGTCGATAAATCCTGGAATGGACAGAGATGCATTTAAAAAGGTTTGTAAAGCTCAATGGAAAAACCCAGATGATCATGGATATATATTCGTTAATACTAGAAAACCTGCAGGTGAAAGAGTTATGACAGATATTTGTTAAATTTTATTGTTTTTAAAATGGAACTATTTCAACCCATATTAAAATCTCAAGAGGATATTAAAAAGAAATTAGCTTTAGAATATAAACCTCCTATAGAACCCACACCTCCTATAGAACCTCATCAAATAGAACATACCATTGAATATGATGGTATTATAATTAGGACAGAAGATGATATAAATCCATATTTTTCAAACCCTCACCCAGATTTACCACAGAGCATTTCACCAATTGTTGTTAATGATGGGTTATTGTTTAATGGATTTAGAATAAAATTTGAAAAATTTTACCCTTTATTCAAAAACGATACAAAAGACTTTACATTTACAACGACAGAAGGATTAATAGATTTAATGAATGGGGGGGGGGGGGGGGACCTGGTATTGCCGATTACAAGGATTTAGTAGCATACTCAAAATTTCTAAAAGAAATTAAAAGGACAGGACCCGACACATATAGATCGAAAGAAGTTAAACTATTTATAAAAGCAATTGAACATCCTGTACACGAAGTTGACGAATCGGGTGATTATAATGAAGACAATCCACCAATCATACAAGAAATAGACGAATTCGAAGATATGTTGGCATCTGGACATGGTATAACGTTTTTATCCGATAATAATGAAGAATTGCTTAATAGATTACGAGTAATATTAGCGGCAATGAAGGAATGACATCGATCGTGCAGACAATATAATGAAGTAAATTGTATATTAAAAAGACTCCTAGAGAAAGGTATCATAGATAAAAAATGATTATAAAAGCGTGATTAAAAATGTCAAATAAAGAACAACTATTCGTTATCACCTCAAATAAGTCAGACATTAAATTATCTCTAGATTATGAGTACGAACTCGATCGCAATCAAGAATATGAATTGGGATTAAAGTATTTCTCTGTTTACAATTCCATTAGAAATATCAACGAAAAAAATAACCAAATAAAAATATTCAACAGATAACGGAGTTACGTTCAAAACCATAAGTTTACTACCAGGAAGCTATGAATACATAGCCATTAACGAATACCTATCTGAATATGGAGGAAGTGTCAATGGTAAAAACCATATTGAATTCGAAGGTAATTTGAATCTGAACAAAATAAAATTAATATTAAGAAATAATAGTCAAGTTGATTTCAACGTTGAAAATTCATTGAATACGTTACTAGGATTTGATAAACGAGTATACACCCAATCCACTTTAGCACCACACAAAGCTAATATCGAGAATGATATCGATGTCATAAATATACATTGCAATTTGATAAACGGTGGATTTTTCAATAAATACAAACGTCAGATTATTTACCGTCTTCCAACATTCACTGTACCGATAGGATATAGAATTATAGAGAAACCATTTCAAACGACGTATTTACCACTTAAGTCCTTTATGATTAAAGATATAAATCTGGAAATCAAAAGTGGTAAAAATAGGTTTATAGATTTTGGTAACGAGGAAATTGTTATTCAACTTCATTTAAAACAAAAAAATTAACACTCTTCATTCTCTTCTTGAATAGTTAGATAATCAAAATCATCAAATTCATAGTTTTAATCTATGTTCAATTCTTTTCCATCGTTGTAAGGATACATGATTCCTTCACTGTTTGGTGCTTTTCTCTTAACGAGATTTAGATAACTTCTAAAAACTTTCTTTTGTTTATCATCATCCTTTGACATAACTACTCCATTGGTGAAACTTTTTACCCAAGGTTTCTTAAATTCATTCGTTACATCGAGTCCACTAGCTAATCGAATATAATCTTCTACGGATATCTTATCTTTAGAGTAACCCTTAAACGTTTTCTTTTCTTTTAAAACACCATCGGAAGTTAGAATGATATTGTATTTAACATTTGGCGCTAAATATAAACCAAATATAATTCCACAATCACCATAATCATTCTTTCCTTTACAATAATCATTTTCGGACACCAACCCACCTTCATTTAATTTATCCCAATTGCTAGACGAAATGTATAAACTATCGGTATCCGTATAGTTCAGGCTTATAAAATCCATCTATCACGCGAATAAAATTATTCATTATTTTTTTACTGTGAGATAAAACGAATGATCCCAAATGACTAGGTGTTAGTCGTGTAGATTTAGGAGGAATAAATTCTTTTTCTTCTTCATTTATCTCAACTATATATTGACTATCATTTACTTTTTCATAGCTTTTGACGTGTGAATCATAGTTGGCTTTTAAAGTCGCTTCACTCCATAGATGTCTCGATGTATTTATATCCTTCTGAATAGATTTACCATAAAACGAATTACCTAATAATTTCATGCAATTACTACCTACGATATTACCTTCTCGTTTATATATATTTCTTAGATCTCTCAAAATTAAAATATAATCTCTATAGGGTGGAGTTTTAAAATTTTCTTCGTAAACTATACCATCTAATATTTTAATAATTCGTCCACCGACTTTCACTATTTCTTGAATATCGACCGATGTTAAAACGTCGTGGCAGAGACCATTTCTGAATCTGATTTTAGTGCCAGTTTCCTTTTTACCTTCTTTATTCGTGAAAGTGATTTTATCTTTAGCTGGTATGGGTTGGAAGAACATGTTTTTGGGATATTCAAACCAGACCTTTAAAATAGCAGTTCTAGGTCTGAATTTGTTCATTAAAGAGCTTGACAAATTCTTTATTTTCTTCCGGTAGAAAGTGTCTACCACTTTCCGCTCTCGGATATTCGCTATCTAAATCCGACATGGCGGAAGCGTACAAACCGTTAGCGTCAAATGCCATCAGTTTAGTACATTTTATTTTTTTAAGTCTCGAATGAACCTCCGTTTTATCTTTCGTGCTAGCGCTATATTCTTTGAATAAATCAATTATATTATCAGTGTCACTTGCATTGTATTCCTTTAATATATTACAAATTTCATCCATTTTATTCGTTTCAAATGATTTTCGATTTACCGAAACTCTTCCTCCTTTAATACTTTGTCTGATAATATATCTTATAAAAGGGTGAGTATGTGAGTAAACTTTTTCTACGTTTTCTTTTTCGGTGTGTTTCGGAACCATTCTAGTAGTTTCATACCATTCTTCTTCAACCATTTCTTTATCGTAATGATATAAATAATACCAACCCTTTAAAGATAAAGAAGGAGCCGTTAGATTATTGGAAATATTCTGAAATACAACTTCTTTCATTGCTTGATTGTATTTTATCAAACAAGCTCCGAGACATAACGTATCTCTTTTAGCGTAAGGTTCCCATTCGTGTCTTAAAGATTCCCAATTATCTTTAGTGTATTTTGCAATATAAACATCCTCGATCTTTCTCAAATTCATTGGTAGATTAGATGAATTTCCCCATGCTGCCAAACTAGATGTTTCGTGTTGATAGGAACATATGAAATTAATATTTTGTAAATAATTAGAGTTACCCTTTATTTCTTTCTGTCTTTTCCATTTTTCTGTAAATCTTCATCAGTGAATGAATTAGTTAAAGGTAGAGACAGGATTCCTCTGGGAGTTTTTAAAGGGCATTGTGTTAGTTTTTTTACTAGCGTTATGAGCAATTAATGTTATTCTTTTTTGATCTATTTTTCCTAAACGTTGTAACATTTGATCGATGCAATCTGTACCTACAAATATTTCTACTATATTATTCATGAGTTTGTTGTAAAATTCTTCTGGAATGGGATCTGATTATTTATTCTGTTTAACATTTTTCTTAGTTTTTCTAAATTAATTAACGTGCAAGAATAAGGTATGGCTTTATTTTCGTTATAGGTTTCGCAATCCCATGCATAAACAATCATCGGGAATGGTTGGAAAAACGTTTAGTTTTAGAGGTGAAACTTGCGTTATCGCATAATCATCTTTACAAGTTCTCCATACATTTTCATCGTAATTATCTTCTATTTCTTTAATGGCTAAGGTTTTGTTATTTCTTCTTATCAAACAGAAATGTTCTTTGTGTAAATAAAATACCCAATCTAATTCTTCGGATACTTTCTTTGGTTGAAAATGTCTATGTTTGGGCATATAAATTTGAAAATAAATATTAAATTTCTTATTGAATTCGCAGATTCTAGCAGATGTCGTAACTCCTTTTCTGTTTGATTTTGAAAAACTGTTGATGAAATCTTGAAAATCTCTCGTGTAGTCTTCGTTTAAAACACGATTAACGCACTTTACAAAGCAGTATCCATCGCTGGGTATATAACAATTCTATCATATATTGTTGTCTACTTTCGAGTTCCATTTTTTAGGTAATTAAATTAAGTGAACTTCTGATAAAGCTGCTATGTGTTTATTAATAATAACTTGAACAGTTACTAACGATATTTGTTCTTTCGAATCATTAATCTTATTCAGATGAACTAAAAATTTTGGTTTTCTAATATAGATTGATATATTAACATATGCATCATCTCTTATTAAAAAATTTTGATTTGTTGACTTTTATGAATATCAATTGAGGTAAATATCATTAATAACAAAATATAGTTTTACGTATTCAAAGTCTATCGTTCGTAAAAACTCATAACTGCTTATATCTTTTTTTTTGGTTCTGGATTTCTAATAATATTCATTGATGTTGGAGTTTCCGTCTCCAATAACATATCAAAATAACTCAATGTAAGTTCATCTTCTTCATTATCTGGTATGATTAACATTCTAAACCTATCTATATATTTTCCACTCGTTTTAATTTCATATGAGTGATCATTCTTATTGTTTTCATCGTTATTTTCAAATTCTTTAGTTTCTACATTTTTTATACCATTGATAAACTGAAGAACTTTACGAGCGTTAAATTGATTAGATGAAAAAGTTTTTTGTCTGAAGAATATTGAATCAACTTTTACCTGAAAAGGGAAAGTTATTTCAATTATAAGTTTTCCTCGGAAATTAAAATCTATTACACGATAATGATCATCATCATTTTCAAAAATATTTCTGGGATGAATAGTATATTTTGGAACAAAATATACTCTAATATTTGCTGTAAATCCATATGTTTTATATTCATAGTCTTTTGATTTATCAATATTATTAGTAAAAGAAGCACTAAAAAAACCCAAATTTCTAAATGGAAGATTGAAATAATATGATTCTTTCTTGAGAAACTTTTTTTCTAATGCGACTATATTTTTGTCCTGTTTCAAAACTAGGTTATTAATAGTGGTTATCTGTTGTTGAATAACACTATCATCAATGTTCTGTATTTGTTGATGAATATAGGTTTTGATTTCGCTATCATCTATGTTTTGTATTTGTTGTTGAATATAGGTTTTGATTTCGCTATCATCTATGTTTTGTATTTGTTTTTTAATATTTGTTAGTTCTTTTTGTAATTCACTGTTAAGTTTAGTTTCCAGAGCATTTAATTCCTGTTGAAACGTATCTTCATTTTCATCTGGAATGTTATCTATCAATTGTTGAATGTCTAATTTTTGTTTTGCAATCTTATCCTCTAATTTAGATATTAATGAAATTAAATTTTGTAACTCAGTTTTATTTGCTACGTTGACTAATTCTTTTTGAATAAAACTTATTAATCTTTGTACCTCTTGTTGTGGTTTAGTATCATTAACAAAATTTTTATTATTTAGTTGACGTTTGAAGAATCTTTTCACATTACTTATTTTATCTTCTAAATGGTTTTTATTTACTTCAATTGAATTTATTTGTTCCCGTAAATATTTCTTGTGAACGGCGTCATTATCGTTTTCCGGAGACTTTAAATTAGTTATGCTAAAATTGTTCATATCTAAATCACCTCGAAGAGTGTCACCGATTTGATCCACAAAGTAAGGTTTCGCTTTATTTATCCACGCTGTAGTGTTAGGTTTTTTAGTTTCTAAAGATAAAGAACCTAATCCAAACTTATTCGCCATTTTTATTGAGTTAAATTTATTACAATTTCTTCGAATTGTTTTCCTAAACTCAACTGATATAAAACCCAAAGTGAAAGCTGACCACAAAACTTTTGTCCCGGTAATTGAATTTGAAAGGAAAAACATTTGATTGGTTTATTAGTCAATTGCATTATCTCTTCGGTAGGTTCTAATCCGTAAGAATCGAAGAAATATAAGTCAGAGTCTTTGTACAAGGCAGAATGATGAACTCCTTTTTGATCGGAAGTATTTAAATTTGTTATTGCGTAAAATTTACCTTTCTTATATTTCAGATCATTTATTTCATCTTTCATACAATAATAAAACGGTGATATATTTGACTCATTCGCCCATCTCATAAGTTGAAAGTTTGTGGTTGTATCGGTTCCATATTTATCGAGAAATTCATTCATTTTTAAAAGTTGTTTTTTTTTAAAATATATACGTAGTTTGTGTTTGAAAAAAAATGTATTACATTCTGATAAAACACATTCAATAATATTTTGAACATAAATTTAAATTTAAGAAAGCGAAAATGCTTGTCTACATCTCTTAATCTTCTATCAAATTCTTCATCATTTATTTTTAAAAGTCGGTTTCATTTTGATAAAACCTTCCTATGATTTGTTCTTTGTCTTGATCGATTAATTCATATGTCGGAGGTGATGTGGTGTTTACTTTATCAACGATGAATATTTCGTTTGTCCAGTATCCAACGTAACCTTTTTTGAATTTGCTTTTATATTTGAAAATACGAACTCGATCTCCGACTTTAAATTTGGGTTTGATATTTAAATTCTTTATTTCATTTTCATAGTTATGTTGCGCGTTAATTGACTTTATAATATTTGGATTACTCGAGGCTTCTGTTGGTGTGACACCTAAAGATGAATGAATTTTGTTATTGTATTCATCTACAACCTCTGGTAATATTTAAAGACATTTTTGAGATTTCAATTCCGTGAATTTTTTGAATAATTTATTTTTTAGAGTCCTGTTAAATCTTTCTATTACTACAGCTTTACCTTCGTTATGCGTGCTGTAAATTTCAAATCCCAGATATTTCATATTTTTGTTATAAAATTCACTTCCTTTATCTACCCACAGTTTTTCTGGATGTCGGTTCGATTGTTTCATAATCGTTTCAAATGCGTGTTTGACTGATAATCCCGTTTTGTTTTTCAAAGGAATAACCCATACATATCTCGTATACAAATCTATAACTGTTAAGTAATATTTAAATCCTCTTTCGACTGGCATATGAATTAAATCGGCTGACCATATTTCATCTTTTTCAAACACTTTTACTTTTAAAAAAATTTAGTTTTTCTAAATTCTAACCATGCCTAATTTCATCTTTGCTTTTAAGAATTTTATGATTAATGCTCTTTCCATTCTCTCTTTGAAAGTTGGATTTGGAATATTTTCAAGTTCGATTATCATTTGTCTGTCTGCTCCGTGTCTGAAGTTTATGTCTTTGTTTCTGTATAGTATGTCGTGTTTAAGCGCAGCGGCGTCAACTCTATTGACTGGTTCTTCCCCTGGTTTGGGTTTATCGTTTTCGTCTAATCGTAGATCTAACCTAGTACCTGGACCGGTGTAATTATGACCGGGAAGATGTTTTTCTCC